CCCCCCTCCCCCCATCACCACACAGCATTTCAGTCCTTGTCTCCCAGTTTCTGCTTCATTGTGCTTTCAAGTCTGTTGCCAGTGTTTAATAGTTTAACCATTTCTAATTTATCGGTCAGTTTAGTTTTACTTTCTTTGCAGTATTCTTGCATACTTGGATCAAATTGAACACCTGCTGTATTTATCTTGTCCTGTCGCTGCCCTGTAATTTTTATTCTACCTTTATTAATACTTTTTCTGTTCTGTGACTGCATTAGTTGCCGCTTAACACCAGCGAGGCTGACCAACTCCTTTTCCTTCTGGAAAATGCTTTCATGAGTTGCCTTGAAATGTGGACTTGGTTCCTGCCTTTTATGGACTTAATAGGCTTAAAAGAGAAAATAAAGGCACTTTGGAGAGTTGCAATTGTTGACTGCCAGTTTCTGTGTGATTAATTAATTTGCTGAATGTAAGGGTAGACTATGTTAATCTCCTGTTATGATTGACTCATACGCATATTTCACTGTGAATTTTCTCTTTTGTACTTAGTGTGTTCATTTGCATGCCATGTTTCCTGCAAGGATAGTGCTCCTCAGGTCTGCCCCATACCCCCTGAGCAAGCCAAAAGGCCTCTTGGAGTAGATGTGCAAAGAGGAATAGGAACCGCCTATAAAGGTTATGTCAAGGTAATAGCCTTTTGTTCTTGGACAAGAGAAGAATGTTAAACTTCACTTACAGCTGTGCAGCTTGGAACCTCTAAGTATGTTTAACCAGATCTCCTAAATTGTACTAAAGCCTTAAGGCTTTGTATGCCATCTATGTAACTTATTTAACCTTCGTTGCTTTAGATGTGGGAGAAACAGTCGGTTTTACTACAAGAGCTAAAAGTTAGTAGATTAGTAGCTACAATGTTCATAAGCAGCAGTGGGGGAAAAAAAGCATGCTTTAAGGAAGAATTTCTATCATTGTTGATGTAAGCATAAGATAAAAGGTGAAATGTCCTACCATTTTGGCATTTGTGGAATATACAAGCCCCATCGTTTGTCCTAATGCTACCTAATGTATTTATTAAACAGTAACAGGGAATGGTTGAACTTAAGGGAAGAAAAATGATTGCTTGATTACTTGACATTTTTCACTGTGTTTTGAAGGGCAAACAGAACGTGTTCTAATTCCCTTGATCTAAGTATAAGCTTTTCTAAATGTCCCTGCTTTCTGTGTCTACTACATGTGCTTACATTTAATAAGCAATCAGTTATTTATACGCAGGTCCCAAAGCCTACAGGAGTTAAGAAAGGGTGGCAGAGGGCTTATGCAGTTGTCTGCGACTGTAAACTGTTCTTATATGATGTGCCTGAAGGAAAATCCACTCAGCCTGGAGTTGTTGCAAGTCAAGTCTTGGATCTCAGGTTTGTATTATTATGACAGAATAGAAATCCTCTGTATTTTTTTCCTAACAGTAATATTTATTTGTGGGACACAAGAAGCTTAAAGATAGTGAGAGCCGTGGTCTGAGAAGACCTGTGTGTTCTGCATATAGACTGCAGCTAAGTTTAGGCTGAACGACTTGGCTTAACAAGTCACTTAGGTGACTTTATAATTACTTCTACTACAGTCACCAATATTTACAGGATTAGCATGCTTCTTCCTAGAATTCCATGTGTACACGTGGAAAACAAATAGATTTTGGTAGATTTTTTTTTCCCCTGCACTCTGACCTCAACATTGAGTCATAGGTCAACCCATAGCCAGTAATTCCAGGAACATTAGGAAAAACTGAAGTAGTCTTTCAAAAAGCACCAATTAATTTACAATGCAAGTGGCTCTGACCCTGCCTTCTCAGAGGAGCTACTTTTTCATGGGGAACCATTTGAACCACTGAGCACTGTCTACAAAAGATCAGAGACTTACATTGATCAAAGTAACCAAGAAGTTTTTTTGTTTCAATTTACAGAAATATCAAGAAAGTGTAGTACCTTTTAATGTCACAGCACCTTCTATCTCTGAATATAAATTTTTGCATTCACAAGCACCTTGATTTATATTTTTTCCAGACAGTAGTACCGTAGGGTTGCACCAGTACTGCTGTTCTGTTCTCAGATTTATTCTCTGAGAAACTGTCAGTGTCAGCTCTCTCTGACATGCTGGCAGCAGGAGCAGAAGTGTGGAAGTATTGCAAATAACACCATTCATATCAGTACCTTGCTTGAAGCAACTCAGCCAGATATTGTACCAACTGTCCCATGTTTTATCTGCTTATTGTAGCTGCCTCTTTGAGTCTGTCTTCTGAGGATTCTTAGATGTTTTAATAGACGTTAACCACCACAGCTATGAATTCTAGTATGGGCAAGTGTCAGGCATTAGTGTCATCTTTACACTAAAATTGGCAATTATGGTGATCAACTTGGTCAAATTCAGTTTAAAAAGGCTTGTGTAGACAAGCCCTCTGGGGTGGAGCACTCTGAAATCAAAAGTTGTTCTGATGTCTGTTTATTTTACTGTAATAGAGAACAAAATCTCGCTGTTTTGAAAATCCATATTTGAATCCCACAAACTATAATTATGTTGCCAAGAGCTTTTTATGTGATTTTTCTTTTTTTCCAAAGGCCCCTCTCTTGCTACACATTGAGGTATGAATTATTCATTTCTAATGTGTCTGCTGGGCTGGAAGAGCAATATTCTTGTTGCTAATTGTAGAATAGGTGTGGCTGGTAAACCAAAACTACACAAAGCCACCCCACTTAACTTCAGGTGGACTGAGTTACGCTCAGTACTGAATGCTGTAGAAACATAACTAAAGCTTGTGAGTTGTTTGGGTCAAGGATAGTTAGAGCATAACAAAGCAGTGATGGCAGTTGTGACCTCTGTGCGGTGTTAGGAGATTGCAGCCTATTGAAACAGTTGTGATATCAATTAGATTTTGCTGGATAATGTTAGTGTGTGCCTGTATGTGATTCTCTTGCTCTCTTTCTTACTAGAGATGAAGATTTTTGTGTGAGCTCTGTCCTGGCATCGGATGTAATACATGCAACTCGTAAAGATATCCCTTGTATATTCAGGGTATGGCTTCCAATTTACGCTTAAAGAAAATACAAGTTAAATACCAGTGTTTTGTTTTGGTTGTGAAGTACGTTATCTATATTTAATGTAAAGTTGTGCAGAAGTGTAATAGTTTACAAGGGGTGCTGAAATGTGTAAAAGAGTAATATCTTACTCCTCTTATAACTGAATTGTAAAGAACAAAGTTCTTCAGTTGCTGCTTCCTTGTATATAAGTTTGGCTTATTTTCTTGATTATAATTTAGTATATTTTTGTCTCCTGGGGTTTTTTTTCTTAGCTTTGGAGAACCCTTCCTTTAGGAACTGATGCTGTAACAGAGTAGGCTGAAGCTGGGTTGTGCTTACTGATTCTAGGTTGCCATATATTGTCTTGTATGAAAAATACATTTGAGATTTTGGGTTTATCTTAAAAATTAAAATAGGAGAAAATAATTAGCTTAAGTATAGTATCCTCTTCAATGTATGTTCTGTGTGAATGCTGTATTTAGTTTTTAACAGCAGGAACATCTTTCCTAGGTTTTATGTGAATTATATTTAATCTGGAATTTCAAAATGTAGAGGAGGGTACATTAGTAGCCAATATCTATAATCCCTTGCATTTGAATACAGAAACTCACGGTTTTCAGCATCTCTGATGCTCAGTCATTTAGAATCAAGTCAGTAGAACAGTCAAAGAGCTGACAGTCACATGCAGTCCCAATCATTTTGTCTTTTAGGGTTTTACTTGGGAAAGGTCTTGGCTACTTGAATGCTTTTATGACTTTTCTTTTCTGCTTTTTTTTTGTAGAAATATTTTCTGCAGTGGATTTTCATCCTTTAGTTTGCTGCTACGTTTACCTTAATTTTCCTCTTACTTGTTTCTAAATGTAATTTTTTTTTTATTCCTATCTGCCTGCTCTCTTCTCAAATTAGCGAATGTAGAATATTATGGGAAAGGAGTTCTGAGGAGAGAAAATGAGCCATGCAGAATGGTGGTTGATTCGTTTACGAACAAGCCATCCATACAGTTCAGCCTGTCTGACTTGGTGCTCTAATTTCTGCTTGCAGTTTTCAACTGAAGGGGTATCTAAGAAAAAAAAAAAACTTTTGTCAAATATCCGCATGTGAGAGTACTTGTATGGCTAGACGTGACAAAAGGTTTCTGTGGTTTGATCAGATTATCATCTGCTAAAGAGATCTGATGAATTAACAGGAAGCCTGGTGTGTGAGTATGTTCATTTAGATACCTTGCGGACAGGGACCAGAGAAGATGCTGCCAAAGTCCACCTCTTCTCTCAGTTTTATGTCCTCCTTCAAAAGAAGGAATTTCTAAAACTGGAGACAAGTAACATCTGATGCAAGAGAATCTGCTTTCTCGGTTTCCTTTAATTCTAGATTTGCATCTTGTTTATGTAATGACATAAAGGGGCTTCTACACAACAGTTAAAACTGTTACTTTACATCATCTGCCTAAAAATGTGGTCCTTCTTTCATATGTGTTCTTTCACGTAACACGTGATGATATTGGTGGCCCGCCAAAGACAGGTTTTCATTTCTTTTGGATCTTCCACCAGCAGAAAGCAATACCAGAATGCTGCCAAATACTAAAATATTGCAACTTCTGACCCGCCATGAAATCGAGAAGAGGAAGAACTTTCTCAGACTCCAACATCTCTCCTTGGTAACCAGTTTTTAAAGCTGGATGTTAGGCTGTCCTGGCATCCAGACTCTGCACTCAAAGTGCTGCCATCAATACATTTTTATAATAGTATAAGAGTGTCTGTAGTGGAGTCCTTCCACAGCTTAGCAGTTTGAGTTAAGAAGCCTTGAGTTTCATAGCAAATACTGGATTTTTGTATGATAAATAATGCTAGCTATATTATGACCAACTTCTCCCAATTTTTTTCCGCATTTGACTACATGCAAGATGCCACCTCAAAGAATGAGGAGTAATACATGGTGGTACTTCAAAGGGAAAACTGTAGCTGAAGTCTGGTTTGGTTTGGTTTTGTTTTCAAATTTAGAAATGTTATCCATTATGCCTCCGTCCATCTTTAAAATATTAATGCTTAGTTACAGTTTAGACATGAACAAAGCTTGATGCAGAGTAATAAGAGCTATGAGCAATTGCAAACTACTCAGTTCTTTTCTTACTGCTCTTCACTTTCATCTTACTTCTGGAGTTCAGTCTTTGACATCCTGAAAGTTTACTTTCAGATCTATTTTATCTTTAAGATTAATATTGTTGCTTAATTCACTCCTTCACGAAGCGTGTGTTGCATAATCACATCATCCATCTTTATGGTGTTTTTCTTACCAAGGCATATAGACTGAAGGTGTGTTATTCCACATGTGAATAGTTACAGCTTTCAGTTTTCCACTTTTGCGCCTTTTGCTGCTTTTTATTTTTCTGTTTAACTGTTGTTATTCTGAAAGTATGTTGTGAGGGCTGATACTGGTTGATGACCTGTTTGTGACTGAAAAGATAGTTCCCTGATCTCACAAACCTCTCCATCTCTTCATACAGGACACAAAACTAAAAAGAATTAGTAAGTGCATACTTTGGGCAAGAGAAAGTTCCTAGATAGTTTTTTCTGTTCAGAATACATTCTGTTCTGAGATCTATAGGACAATTTACCTGAAAATTAAGTGAAGCTATAGTGATTTTCTTTTAAGGGGAAGCAGGAGAATGCAGTACTTCAGTCTCAAATGGTGGGGGGAGGGATCAGGACAAATTATGACATGCTACTGAAATTCCAGTTTGGAGCAGGAGGGAGCCTTTTACTGCCATGTATTTATTATTATAGGAAAGGAATGTTGCATTCCTTACCCATATTTTAGGATTCAGAATGATCAAACAAGACTGAATATTTTTAAACAAAATCACAGCACCTTGTGCAGTGGTTTGTTTTCTGGGTTTTTTTTTGTAGACCATGGCCATGTCAGCTGCATACTGCGTTGCATTCCCCTTGGGTACATCATCGCGTTGTTATGAAAAAGTGTATTTTACTTTCACCGTTCTGTGAAGTATGTAATACTGACATGAAAGGGCTTTTATTATTCTTATTAATTTCACTTTCTCTGTCTGTTAAAAGGTGACAGCTTCACTCTTAGGTTTGCCTTCAAAGTCTTGTTCTCTACTGATCCTGACGGAAAATGAGAATGAGAAGAGAAAGTGGGTTGGAATCCTAGAAGGGCTGCAGTCTATCCTGCACAAAAACAGACTGAAAAACCAGGTTGTGCATATTCCACAAGAAGCCTATGACAGTACACTGCCTCTTATTAAAGCAAGTTTAGCTGCTGCTATTGTAGGTAAGTTTGTTTTAACTTTTATAAGGGTCGTTGCAGCTTTTAGATGGGCTTCTGTAATGAGGGCACTGACACCTTTAAATAAATTCCTCAGCTGAATTCCTTCATAGGAATTTAATAAGCGGGGGGGAAATGCTAATCTTGCATTGATATTCAAATTTCTTCATCCAGTCAGAGTAAATAATACTGTTTAGTAGTTTTAGCAATAGGGTATATAGCAGGGTTTTGACAGACTGCGTGAACTTAAGCAAAATTGATTTACTGTTGAAAATCTGTTTGTCCAGAAATTTTCCAGGTGTTCAAAGCAAACAGTCTGTTTTAAAGATAAGATTAAGTGTAGCTGAATTAATAGCCTTTTTTTTTTCCTTCCTGGTTTAGATCGAGATAGAATAGCAATTGGTTCAGAAGAAGGACTGTATGTGATAGAGGTGACCCGTGACGGTAAGTTAGGCCATAATGCATGCAGTAATTACATACAGAATAATGAGCTCCATAACTTTTAGTGCTGTTATAATGTAGGTTACACAACAGCCCTCCATGTATAGTGAGTATTAAGCACTAGCACTCAGTTAATTGATGAGAAGGAAAAGTGAATGCAAGATGTAAGCACTAATTTGGTCATTATCATTACATTCAGTTGACTGACTGAAGTTAAAGGGATGAGGTACTGGGCATATTCTGACACACTTAACTCTGTTCCCACAGCAGGTAGCAAAATATTTCAGCACACAGAGCACGCACAGCAGCAGTTGATGCACGGTGAATTATCAGGCACTTACTAAATAGAAATTGAATTGAGTGAGAAAAACTTGACGTGGAAACAGACTTGTCCCAACGTGCACCATCAGAGGACTTAAACTGCCGTGGAGTAGAAGTTAGATGGCCAGTGCACGCAACACAAGAGTTTGTAGACTTTCTATTAAAGCCATCATGTGTCATTGTCTGTTTCTTCCAGAAATCTGAGAACCACTTACATCCTGTTTTAGGCTGATGATGGCCAAAGCAAATACCTTGCTTGCCCCTTTCCATTATCTCTTTATTTCCCTGACCCCATGCTTCCTTCTGAACCTGCTTTTTCCTTCCTGTTTTTAATGCAGTCCACCCTCTGCTTTGGGAAAAAGTGTGATCAGTTTAGCCTGTTCTTTCTGAAGACTTACCATGTCCATTCCAGAAATTCATACAGAGCGTGCTCCAGGTACCACAGCAAAATGTATGCTGCGTAGTCACTGGGCAGCACGGGCATATCCCTCTATCGTTGAATTATTAGGCATCACAGCTAGGGAGTCAAGGAAGCATTTTTCCCTTTAATCTGATATACTGAGCACAAATACAGATAACAGTGCCTTGGTATGCTGGGGACAGCACAGAGCCCAAAAGGATTACTAGCACATGAGCATGGGAATTGTTTGGGGTTGATCCATACAAAATGCAATTTTAAACATGGAAAAGCAAAGAGCAATTTTCGTTAATTTTGCAATCTGCTTCCAGAATAAGATATTCTTATTTTGAACAAATAAATGGACAAAAAAAAACTAGTTGAGTTAAACTGAATTTATAGAAATTAAGTCATATGTTTTGATGATCCTTATGGCTCCTTTCCAACTTGAAATATTTGATGATTTTTAAATGCAATAGTCTACTACTATTTAGACTTTTCCAAGTTACTATAGGAAATATTAATTATTTCTTTCTCTCTGACTTCAAAAGCACCAAACATACCTTATGAAACCCATGCTGTCTTATAACTCCTGAGGCACTCTGGGTTTAGAGTGTTGTCTAAATTTATACTACTTGTGGTACAAGAGCTAGCAGCCTTGGTTTTCTGATAGGATTGTTTCTAACAAAACACCTAATTCTTTCTTCATGTATATTGAGCTTAGGTCCTTCTGGTGTCTTTAACTATCTGGGAGTTGAGGATGTTGAGGTCAGTGATGCAGATTTGTAAAATTAAAAGGTGCCTTTTACAACTTCGGAAAAGTCGCTGAGACACTCCTGAAATAACCCCTTTGACTGTTTTCCAAATTTCAAAAAAGATATTTCTTTAAATTTGGTTTGATGGAGGAATTTAAATTTCCTTTTTCAGTGCAATTTAGCTTGTAGCTATTTGAAAGTTGGATTGCAGTCATGCTAAAACTTGCATTTCAATGTAAAATAAAGCAGTGAATACAGGTTTTTAAAGACTTACTTGACTTCAAAATCAAACGAAGCTAGGGATGTGGTTTTGGGGCAAAAAGCAAAATGTTATTGCTTCCTCTTGCTTAGAACAAGCCATTGCCCAGTTCCAGGAGAAACTGCTTTATACATGAAGACATCAGATATTTGAAATTCTTTTGACCAGTAATAAATGCCATTCCTTTGAGTAAACTTCCAGTGGTCCCCATTCTGTGAGTACTCAGATATAAACTAACATTAGATGCAAATAATTCCAGAGATTCCAGCACAGCTTCTTGCATCAAAGAGAATTGTACCTTTAATTTGAAAGGTCATTTCATAAAGGAATGATTATCTGCATCATCATGTCATATGTAAATGTGAAAATGAATTACCAGTTTTGGTTTTAAGTTAAAACGTATTTTGCAGGAGTTTTATGTGGCCAGTTCCTGTGTGTTAATAGCATTTTTATAAATTGTAATAACTGTTTCATTTCATGGCAATTATAGTTTTCAGTATTAATTAACTGCCAGCTGCTTATATGAAAGGTCTTTGGTCAGAATATCACTTAGTTC